CGGGGCCGCCCGCGCCCCCCGCGCCTCCGCCCCGCACGGCGGGACCCCTGCCTCAGCGCGAGCCCACCCCCGGCGCCACCCGTCCCTCCTCCCGCGCCACCAGAAAGAGAAGATGGCGCTCGAGTGGTCGCAGGAAGTGACGTCGGACCTCATTTGCATGCTGGCCCAGACAGCCAATGGGAGTGGAGTGTGCATGGGGCCCCTGGAACCCCCCACTGGGCCCCTGGGTCCCTGGGCGAAGCTGGGCTCCAGGCGCAGGAGCAGGACTGTGGGTGCTCTGTGGCGCCCCCTCCCCTGAACCAGCTCCTGGCACAGGGTACTGTCCTCCCAGCCTTTCACCCAATCTGTGCAAACTCTCGTGAGAGTTTGAGTGGGTGGTGACGTCCTGAAGGGGGCGGGGACAGTGGTCATCGACATGTGACCGGTCACGTGGGATCACCAGATCTTTGAATTCATTTGCATGGAATGGGGTGGGGCTAGTGGAGCCTTTGCGTGTAGCCCCGCCCACTTCTCAGAGCCAATAGAAAGCTAGCTGTGAAAATGCTGCCTTGCCATTGGAGGGTAGAACTTTGGCTGTCAGAACTGGGGCAAGTGTGACCTTGATTGACACATCTTGATGAGGACTTCGTGGATAGGGTCTCCTGACTTCATAATTTCTTTTCCTAGGAAAGTTGTTACACTTTTTTTTTTAAATTCTGACATTTAAGCTAGATCTACTACATGTTAAGTAGGGAGAGGGTTAATTCCATACATTTGTCTAAACTCTTAAATTATCTAAACGTCCACTCTTGCCCAAATTTTGTTTAATTGTAGCAATAAATAGCATATTTTTCAAAATGGGTGAAAACATGGAATAAGCGTTTTGGGAAAAGTTCTGGATCTTCATCCATTGAGCCACCAAGCTTCTCACAAGGATTGCCTTACAGCACCTTCCCAGCTTGTCCTCCCCTCACTCCAAGCTTCTCCCAACTCCAAGTCTCCCAGCACTGCCCCTGTCCCTCACGGAGGAAGCCAGGCCTTCTTCGTCAGACCATCGCCTCCCTTATCCTCAGAGGGCCAGACCTCCTCTGTCAGACCTGTGACACCTCCTCCACACCCCCACATCCACAGATGACCAGGCCTCCTCTGCCAGCACTGAAGTTCTGAAAACCCATCTACCTAACAGCCCTCTGGACCCTAAGCCCCCAAGCCCAGTTGAAGAGTTTGGTCCTCTTTCCTTCTGGGCCTGTCTGTCCTTGAAATCAAAGAGCTCTCCCTTACCTGCAAACTCCCCCCATAATTCCCCAAACTTGCTCCTCAGCCTTCTCTGGCCCCACCACTCATCCCTGCATCCTCACCAGCTTCCCCTCCTCAGCCCATCCTTGGATGTCAACCTCCTCTGAAGTCTGCCTGGTCCTCTGGTCCTTCAGCAGGTGTCCACTACCCACTTCTCAGGGGCCAGATGCTGGGCCAGTACTGGAATTGCCCATGCTTCATTCTCTTTCTCGTTAATCTCAAACTTTGTTATTGGAATTCCAAACAGGTATCTCCACCTCTTTCCTGAGTTTCAGTTTTCTTCCTCTGGCTGCCAATTGGGCAGCTCCACTTAGTGTCCCAGAGGCACCAGAGACCATAATGTCCAAAAGTGAGCCCACCACCCTCCCAACAGCCCTCCTCTGGTAGCAGTGTGCAGCCACAACACATGCTTGCGGTCCCTGCCTGTCAGCTGCCCCTAATGATCTAGCAAAAAGCACATCTGACCGTGTCATCCCTTCTTGCCATGACCACACCAACCCTCCGTAGTATCTGTCCCTGTTGGCCAGCATGGAACACAAGTTCTTCACAAGCAGCCAGACCCAACCCTACCTTTGGCTCCTGCAAACACCATGTGAGGTTTGTCATGGAGTTCCTGCCCAACCACCTGGACTAACTTCATTGCTAGCTGTTGCCATTCAAGGCTGTATTCTGCTTGCCTATCCACCAGGAAGACTTCCCTGACCACACCCCACACACAAACATGCCAAAATGTGGTCTTCTGCATACTCCTGTAACATTCTCTGTGTCTCTCACTGCCCTCCTCACATTAGTTTATCATCATCTCTCTCAAGGAGCACTGAACCAACATTTATCACTTATCCCTAATGCTAGATTACCTTAATATAATTAAATATAAATACAATACAAAGTATTCTTATAAATATAAATATCTGTATAATGAGTTTTTGACAAATATAAAGATAATAAAATTCTAAGAAATGTTGAATGAGGTTTTTCCCTAGCATCTTATTATGAAAATTTTGAACATACTGAAAAGTTTAAATAATTGTTCAGTTACTAGCTCTCACAAGTAACATTCTGCTTTATTTACTTCATCACATGTCTATTCAAATATTCATCCCTTGATCCATCTTCTTTTTAGTACATTCAAGGAAAATTACATGTATCGATGCACATCATCCTCAAACATGTTGACATGGGCACTTATAAAGAGGGTTCAACCTCGGCTCAGCATAGAGGCCAAGAGGGTTGCCCCTCCCCACAGAAGGAATCAGCAGTCTGACCTGGGAGATCTATGAGATTATTTTCAGAGATTCAGGAAAGTGCATGACAGTGAAATCATCAAACGGAAGACAAAAGTTAGACGGCAGCATTTAACTACCAGGGGGGTCACAGCACCTGTAGGGTTACTCACCCTGTTCTCTCCTGCACGGGTGTGTGCAAGGCCAGGGCAGGAGTTTGATTTCAGCTGTCTAGTTAGATTGAAAACTGAGGGGCCTCTGCTCCCCTGCTGAGCCTCCCCACTCTCTCACCTGGTAGCAGAACCTGAGATGCCAGCTTAGGCACCTCTGTGCAAATTAGAAAGTAGGGCCCCTTGGTGTGTGCTGCCCTCAGGACTTGTCAAGGAAAAGTGCCTTTGTGTGCTTTCCCATGTGTTGCTTTCTCTGGGCAGACCTACCCCACAATGGACACAGATCTGGATTTTAGCTCACTCCTCCCTCAGCCCACTCCCTCTCACACACACAGTGCTGTGCGCAGAGACCACTGCACACATGCTTATCACAGTAAAATAAATGGCTAAAGTTAATCTAAAACTGGTGAACTTTCTATAGAAAAAGGATATCTCTAGAAGTATCTCATGTATATTCCTCCCCTCCTCTGTTTTACAGTCACTCTGTGTGTGTCCACCAGGTGGCAAGGACACAGGGATAGCAGATTCCATCTCTCCTCCTGGAGTTCGGAGTCTAGTGGGTCATGACGCTGGTCCATTGCATTCTACTGAATCTGAAACGCTGCTGGGCAGCTGCTCTCTCACCAGATCATCTCTGGAGGCTTTTGGGTTTGTACATGTCCAGGAGGCAAGGGAGACTCTCTTGGACCTTTCCTCTTCTTTTTTGAGACAGAGTCATACTCCTTTGCCCAGGCTGGAGTGCAGTGGAGTCATCACAGCTCACTGCAGCCTCTGACTCCTGGGCTAAGCTATTCTCTTGCCTCAGCCACCTGAGTAGCTGGAGCTACAGATGTAGCCACTGTGCCTGGCTATGTTTTCATTTTTTTGTAGAGACGCAGTCTCACTATGTGGCCCAGCCTCGTCTCAAGTGACCCTCCTGTCTCAGCTTCCCAAAGTGTTGGGATTATAGGAGGGAGCCACTTAGCCCAGCCATTGGACATCTTATATAAGAACACCAATGCCATCTCTGAGAGCTCCACCTTCATGACCTAATCACTCCCCAAAAGCCCCATTCTTAATACCCATCACATTTAGGGTTAGGATTTTGACAGATGAATTTTGGTGAGACATAAAACATTAAGTCTGTTGCCCTAGCTTAAAGAATTACTATGTCCTTGAAGGAGAGAACTACATGGCCAGAGGGACAGTGGGCGCCTTCAGCCAAAGAGTGCAAGGTCTCTGAGAATTTCCCTACTTTTAATTTAAGGATGCCATTTGTTCTTTCAAACTATTTAGGATATCATGGATACTAAAAGTAGTGTGGTTTTGAGTAAGAGGTAACTTTTTTTTTTTTGAGACAGAGCCTCAAGTTGTCGCCCTCAATAGAGTGCTGTAGCATCATAGCTCACAGCAACCTCCAACTCCTGGGCTCAAGCGATTCTCCTGCCTCCACCTTCCAAGTAACTGGAACTACAGGTGCCTGCACAATGCCCGGCTATTTTTTGTTGTTTGGCGGGCCCAGGCTGGATTCAAACTGGCCGGCTCAGGTGTACGTGGCTGGCACCTTAGCCTTTTATAATGGTCCCATAATGTGTATACCTTGGTCACTTGATATAAAAGTTAGGATGCCCCAGGTTGGAAACACAAAAGCAGGCAGCTTTTTAGTAACAGCAAGGGCTGTGGCTTTTTGACAAGGAAGTGCTTTAACACACCCTGAAAATAGACAATAACTAAAACATATTCATGGAAGGTGGAGGGTACATCAAACCCAGTGGCTAATCACTCCCCCAAACCCCAAGTATACAGTGAGCTCTTGAAACCTTGGTTCCTGG